ATTTAATTAATGATTTGACTAACTTGATATATTAGTTGTTTGTGTCGGAATATTTGGTAAAATAATTGTTCGATATTAATTATTTATATATAAAATGACAATTAATAATATTTTTATATTTTATATTCTTTAAAATCTTTATATGTATTATGATATAATACATCACACAGAGTAGAAGAAAACAAAAAATAATGAATAATGCAAAGACATGAAAGAATATAAGAGTAAATAAGAAAAGATAATAATAAATAAATCATACTACTAATTTAAAAGGTTGGGATATCTAGTTTGTTTGGATGTAGTTTGAGATTAATTTGAACTAACACATTGATTTGAATTTCTATTTATTGTTGTAATTTTGGTTAGAAAAAACGTATATTTTAAATGAATATTGTGGAAAGTAAATAATATTAATTTTAATTTGTAAAATTTGTTTTATAATCCAATAAATTATTTCAAGATGCTAACTTTTCAAACACTTAAAATAATTTTTTGGCTGACCAAATTATTAAGGGTGTGTTTGTTTTGGGAATTTTTTTCAAAAATATCAAATCAAACACTTATTTTTTATTTTTTATATTATAATAAAAATCAATTTTACGTTCAAAATATCACATCAAACCTATTTATATCACATTATACAACTATTCAAATTCAAAATTTTTACTATTCAAATTCCAACTCAAAATTCAAACCTGTCAGACACATTATTTCATTTCCAGCCTAATGAACCATTTACATTTTATTTTGTATATTCACTGTTTACACACAAGACCTATAAAATTGCTAATATTAAAAACATTATTTTATATCGAAAGCTTTTGCAGGGTTTTTATAACCCAACAAAAAATAAAAATGGAATATTCTTTGTTTGATGTAAAAATGATAGCTATAATTACATTTTTAAAAATATGAATTTAACGTTTTTTATTTAAAATATTATATATTAAAAAGAAAAAAAAGGAGCCTAATGCCAAATGTTTTAATACAATAGTTTGTTATTTCATTAGTAATTTATGAAAAATCAGATTAATTTCTTTACAAGAGAAGCAACTGCAAAATTAAATTAATCATTTTTTCAGTATAATTTTAGGAATAAATAAATTAAAGATTCTTATGGCTTGGCTGTCCACGTCACACACACTATTATCAAATTAATATTTTATTTATGCTCACACATTAAAATTAAATTAAATTAAAGAAAAACTTTACAGATAAACCCATCTGGCAAAACATAAAGTCCCATTCATAATAAAGTAATAATAGTGGATTTAATTAATTAATTAATTATATATTAATTTAAATTAGGGTAGTAATTAAATATGTTATCCGATGATGATTAGTGAAAGGATCAATTATAACATTAACAACTAATCACTCTGATTAGTTAAGGAAAGTGTTTTCAGCATTATTATTATTATTATTATTATTATTATTATTATTATTTCGTCTCATATTTATATATTCATTTGCTTATTATACGGAGTTTTAAAAATATTAGTATTATATTAGAATAAAATAGAAATAAAGGTAAAATGACTAAATTAACCCTGTTAGTATTGTATGATATAAAGATAATGACATTTGTGTAATATATTGTAAATTGGAAAGGTGGTTGTAATGTTAGATATATAGTACAATTACTTTTAAAAAAAATTGATATTTTGTTATGAGACGGACTAAAGTGAAAAAATAGATAAATTATTAAGTGACGGGAAAATATTATTATTGTTATTATTATTATTGATTAATAAGAGAACGTTAGCATATAGCAAGAATATTCAATTTATTGTGATAGTTTATAATAATTTGATATAAATAATTGGGTTTGTTTGATTATAATTTAAAATTGATTTCAACTATATTTTGATTTGAATTTAGGCTTTGTCCTTTTACAAAAATTCCCCTAACATATTTTTTCAGAAGAATTAATATACTATATGTATTTATTATTTTTATATTTTTTACACAATTTATTATATCTCATATAAAAAATAATTATTCTTTTAAATCAAAATACAAAACAAACACACCTTAATTTTATTTAAATAATTTTTAATATAGAAAATATAGAAATATTTTTTTATATATAGGATATAATTTTTTTTTCATTTTTTTTTTAACAAGCTTGTATTTAATACAATATGTGTTGTATTAAATTAACTCAAGTAGTTGTGATGTATGAATGCATTACTTGTACTGAATTTAATTATAAATTATGTAATATTTAACTATGACATATGCTTATAGTTCATGTATTGTATTTTTATTTATGTTAACATAAAATGAATAATACATATTATAGTCAAAGTATATATTTTTATTTAATAGAACTATATACTTTTATGCACAAATAGTAAATTTATGCGATACAATTATATATTTTTATTTAATATTTTATATTTTATATTTATATTGTGTGCTGATTGTCTTTTTTTTCACTATTTTAAGTGAGTTCAATGCTGATTTCTCTAATTCAATACAATAATAGCCCTAGACATTATCTATGAATGAATATGGTATTTTATTTTATTTATTTATTATAAAATCCTTGTAATTTTCTAGAAAAGTATACAATTTTTAAAAATAAAATAGCATCACATCTCACCTACTATTTGAATAAAAAATTAAGCTAAAACTCACATATATATATATATATATATATCACCAATTAAACAGTTAGCATTTAAAATACTATTTATTTAAAAATAATTAAATTAAATTTTACGATAATTCGAAGATCTTCGTGAACATGCTAGCTGGTTCCTGGCATCAAATTCTCTATACCAAATTTTCTCTATTCTCTTTAATAAAATAGAGCCATATGAATGAGTGAGAATATTAATAAAATTTATGTATTTTTTTTTAACTATAATTCTATCACGTGTTTTTTTTTTTTTAAAAAAAGAATATTTTTAATAAAACTTATTCATAATTTGTATATCTTAATTTTTATTATATTTTATTTTACTATAAAAAAAATATATTACTATATTTTAAAAATATAATTTTCAGATGTTGTTTAAACACAATTTTATAATGATATTTTATATGAAATTTTATAAAAAAAATATTATAATTTATGATTTAGATATTTGCTTTATTTATTAAAATATTTTCTTCAAAAATAAATAAAAAAATCATATGAAATTTTAATTTAATTTATTTCTTACGTTACTTTTTTAAAAATAATTATTAATTTAAACATAAAATATTATATCCAATGTAAAAATCAATACCAAATTCAAATAATTTTTTTAAAATATTATGTAAATATTAATGTAAATAATAAGTGTGATATCTTGAGAAAATAATAATTTTTACAAAAAAATAATATAATAAAAATTGAAATAGAAATATAATTTTTATTTTATTTTAAAAAAATTATGAAGTAAATAAAATAATAACAAAAGAAATAGATAATCTATTATCTCTCATTATATGAGACAACCTTTTATTGGAGGGAAAAGGGGGAATAGAAAAAATGAGAATAGAGAATTTAATACCTTGGTTCCTAGGGTATCTTCAATCCAAATACAGTGGATTGTGTTAAAATAAAGTATTTTTGTATTAGTGTGTTATTTTTTATTTTATATAATAAAATATTGATACTTTTAAGCATGACGGAAAAAAATAATAAAAATAATATTTCCAGATGAATAGAGAAATATTATTATTTTTATTTACTATAAAATCTCAAAGAACCTATTTAGATTGAAATGAAAGAAATACTTCATTTGTCTCATCACAATCGATACTATTTACATTTTTGTCCGTCCCATATTAATATTTTTTTTATTTTAGATAAAATTTACTAAATTAAAACATAATTAACAAATATATACAATTTATTTAACTGCAAAATATATAACATCATCTATCGTATAGGACTATTCAAAATTCCTTTATTTCTGTTTTTCTTAAATATATATATTTTTATGTACATTTAAAATTTTATATCTTTTATAAAATTAATTTATATTAATTATATATAAATAAAAGTTTTTTTTTATTTAATTTTATTATAGAAAATTTTATTTTATATAAAATGATATATATTTTATATAATTTTTTATTATGATATAATTTTTAAAATATTTATATATATATTTTAATTTTTTATTATATAATTAAAATTATTAATTAAATAAAAATAATAAAATAATATCAAAATCACTGTTATTAACTAACGAAAAACGTCTACTATGTTCAGATGGATAAGAGTATATTGTATATTCTATGTAAATATATATGTATATATTATAACTTTTATAATATTAAGAAAAAAACATATAAAAAAAAAGAAAAAAAAACTGTTAGAGGAATATACTAGTGTTAATAAAAATTAGTCAATGAAAAAGCGGGATCTTGGGACCCGGGACCTCTTAAGATCAGCCATAAAAGTTAGATGTTTGAAGACGAAGGTGGGGGCCGCACCCCCACTATTCTATATTTGGTCGGTTATAAATTTAACCTAAACTATTTATTGAAAATTCATTACATTTTCTTTTACTCTATGGGCGGCTATTATTTATTTAGTCATTTTCAAATCTAATTTTAAATCTTTTGAAAATTTTAAAAATATATACTTCGTCTCATATCTAACTATTTATTTTTTTACATGAAATTATAGAAATATTAGTATTATAATGTGATATAGTAAAAATAAAAATAAAAAGATTAAATTAACTTTATTATTATTATATGATATAAAAATAACATTTGTATAATATATTATAAATTGGAAGGTTATTTGTAATGTTAAGTAAATTATACTATTATTAAAAAAAATAGATACTTTATTATAGACAGACCAAAATAGATAGATTGTATAAAAAATTAAATATTTGAGATAATATTTTAAAATATTATTGTAAATTAACAATACTAAAATTAAATTGAATATATATAGAAGGAGACCTAACTTATTTAAATTTTTTGTATAATCATGTAATGAAAAATAAATTATAAAAATTGGAATTTTGGTCAATAAATACCAAACCATTTCTAAGCTCACTCCCACTCCACACCCTCAAAATTCCTATTCACTTTTTCTCTCCCACTCTGTAAAAGCAGCGCCTGAGTTCACGCTCATGACGAAGGACGTCGAAGCCTATGCGGAGCCGTCGCGAGAGCACGCGGCGAAGGACTACCACGAGCCTCCGCCGGCGCCGCTGTTCGATTTCGATGAGCTCACTCAATGGTCGTTCTACCGCGCCTTGATCGCGGAGTTCATTGCTACGCTCCTCTTCCTGTATGTCACTGTTTTGACGGTTATCGGATACAAGAGCCAGACAGACGCCGCGAACGGCGGCGATGAGTGCGGCGGTGTTGGTATTCTCGGTATTGCTTGGGCCTTCGGCGGCATGATATTCATCCTTGTTTACTGCACCGCAGGAATTTCGGGTGAGTTTTCTGTTAGATTCCGCCAAAGTTATACAAAACTCAAATTAAATTCGTATGTTAAATTTTAAGCTTAAGCGAATACATTTGAATTAGATCTAGTGAGTGATCGTTGTTTAACATTGATTGCTATTTTTCTGGTGAACAATCGCTGTGGATTCGATTATGATTACGGTTACTCTGTTAAAATCACACCAGCAGCATTGCTAATTACTAGTTTCCATAGCTGAAATTTGAAGTTTACCTTGTTGAAAGCGCGAGCACAAAACGAATTTCATATATATATATATATATCATCTGCTATCAACGAATCAATGAAACTAGATCTGAAATTAGGGATTTAAATGAATTAATTGAGACGTACGGTGCAGGAGGTCATATAAACCCTGCAGTGACGCTGGGGCTATTCCTTGGGAGGAAGATATCGATAATAAGAGCGTTCATGTACATGGTAGCACAGTGTTTGGGTGCAATTTGTGGCGTGGGGTTGGTGAAGGCGTTCCAGAAGTCGTACTACAACCGTTACGGCGGTGGCGCCAACGTGTTGGCCGACGGGTACAACAAAGGAGTGGGTTTGGGCGCCGAGATTATCGGCACGTTTGTGCTGGTCTACACTGTTTTCTCGGCCACTGACCCCAAGAGAAACGCCAGAGACTCGCATGTCCCGGTAAGCTATCGCAACTCTACTCACAATTTGCACGGTCACTTTACTTGCCTTTGTCTTTGTGGTGTGGTGGTCACGCAGTACTGACATTTAACATACAGCAAGATAAACTGACCACACTTATTTTTTATTTTATTTATATTATTATTAACTGATCATTAATTTTTTATTTTGTTTATATTATTATTAACTAATCATAAGATGAATATTGTTCGTTCCAAAAAAATAATATTATTTTTTAATTTAGTAATTTACTATTTATCTAACATAATTAATATTCTTACAATTGTAATTTTTTTTATCACACAAATCTAATAGGAGTATTTTTTGTCTTTTCTAATATAAACTAATATATTAAAAATCTATGTGCTACTTTTTTGCAGGACGAAATTATTATTATTATTATTTTTTATTATGCATTTACTTTATAAAAATTAGAAAAAATGGTTTATAATTCACTTATGAATTAAAAATTATATAATCCCTAAAAAATAATTTTGTGCAATATTTTTAAAACATAAGAGAGTCTCATGAAATTTTTAAATAATAAGATAGAATACTACATAATTTTTAAATCACAAGTGAGTTATAAGTATTTTTGTCTAAAAATGTTATCTATTAATTATTATATTTAAATATTAGGGCATGGATGAGCTGCTGATCTGATCAAGTCAATATGATATTGGTTTGGCCGGATCAATACAGGCAACATGGCTGACCAATATAAATTTATAAATATTTCAATATATTTATAATATTATATATGATGAGATATGTATAAAATATTAGTCATTCATATATCATATTCGATCAAATTAGCATTATGATGGTGCGAATCAACACAGACTCTGCAACCTAAAAATACAACCGTAACCACATTTAACAAATTGTTAAGAATATTAGATGGCTTTTCTTTTGAAAAAATTATTGAGCTGATGGCAAGAAAATCAGCCTAAGTGTGTTGATTTTCTCGTTAGTCAATTCTAAATAGGCAGACAATATATAGTTTTAATTATGAAATTAAATATTATATTAGTTGAAATTACGAGCTAATAGTTTTATTTATAGGGTATATTGTATGAACATATTTTATGAGCCGAAATTGATAATAACCATTGAATTACTGAATTAGGGCATAATTAAGCTGAAGAAAATCTCCATTTATTTGTTTTTTGTATGCTTCGTGTTATAAAATTATTCTGAAGCTAATTTATGTTATGAAGTAAGGTTATAATTAAATTTGCACTGTATATATTTTATTCAATCCTTCACTCGTAAAAGTCAGAGGCAGGCATATGGATTTAGTTTGATTAATCAATAATAATAATAATAATAATAATAATAATAGGTGTAAAGTGTGCGCGTGCTGAGCATATTAGTTAGCTAGTCTAATCGGGGGCAGGTAACATATGTGTATTATACATGCATCTTTAATTTCTAGCTTAGCTTAGGATAGCATAGGTTAGGTTAGGTAGTGGGCATTTATTTAAATATTGACTATAATGGCTGGTTGCATGGTGAGAGTCACAGAGGTGTTAGTTAATTAATTTTGCAATTAGAGGACATCTAGGTATATATGTGTGTATTTACTGTCAAATTTAGTCGATTACTAATTTTGACAAAGTCAAAAATCAATATTTAACTATTATCTTTTATTCAATAATGTCATTTATTTTTGTTACATTTTTTTTCTACATTTTCTTAATTTATAATTTACTTTTCAAAAATATCCTCAGCTATTTTTTTTTTACTTTTATCATTTTTTAATAAAATATATATTTTTTAATTTTCGTGTATTCTAATAATAATAGTATGTATTGTATTGTATTAATGAATTGGAAATAGGTGCTGGCGCCACTGCCAATTGGGTTTGCGGTGTTCATGGTTCACCTGGCGACCATACCCATCACGGGCACCGGCATCAACCCTGCCCGGAGCTTTGGCGCCGCCGTCATCTATAACCAGGAAAAAGCCTGGGACGATCAAGTATGTACTACTACTTATAATTAATTAATTAAAATGATTAATATATAATAACGAAATCTAATTTATTTTTTATTAGTGGATATTCTGGGTGGGACCGGTGCTGGGGGCAATAGCAGCAGCATTCTACCATCAGATAATATTAAGGGCAGCAGCCATCAAAGCTCTTGGATCCTTCAGGAGCAACGCCTGACGATGATCCACAATATATATATGCATATCCTAAACTGTAGATACACAACAACATAATTATGCATATCCATTGCCCCTTTTCATCATGCATTTTCATTTTTCATTTTCCATTTTCATTATGTTTTGATTTCATTTGGTGCTGCTTTCCTCATTCACTCTCTCTGTATTTATTATCGACATCATCATTTCATGATTTAAAGGAAATGGGCTGTTTGTGTGTGCTTAACTTTATGTCTATGTCTCTCTCTCTCTCTCATAGAATATAACAAAAAAAAGAGAAATCTACAAACATAAAATGCTATAAAACAAAAGTTGATTGAAAGGATGTCCTTTGTAATGTTATCTTTTAGTATGTGACAGTTAATTCCAATATCTTTAATTTGTCCCTTTCTTTCATATATGATAGGGCTAACCGTAATTTGTAATCCAATAGTGTTGTGACAATGTAGATCAATGAGAATAACATGAATAATACATAAATTTTGTAAGTATACAAACTATTAAAGTTATATGTGCAGTGGTTTGCAGCATGATCTTATATCGTGCTTTCGCAAATGATCTCAACCATGGTTCATCGTTGCGGATCGGCTTTGATTATTCTAGATGCGTTTTAGCGTATCGTTTCAGTGTATCGGGCAAATATTGGCTATTAAATTTATTATTAATATAAGTGTTATGTTTTTATAATCTGTCAATAATAAAATATTTCTTCGACCACAATGTATTTAATATAGAAATAAATGATAAAACTATAAAATTAAAGATTGAAACATAAGCCACAACCGAATTGGGAATTAACTAAAAAAGCCAACCAACCAACCAAGACTTCATCAAATAAAGCAGAATACTAAAAAGAACTCCTTATTTTGGCACCAGAAGTGACAGGCGTTCTGCGGGCAGCGATAGCAGCATGTGACTTCCTCCTCCTCGGACGGACAACTTGGAGCAACCACCATGGTGATCTTTCTCGGCAGCGAGCAACTCCGGTGAGAACGATTGGGAAAAGCTTTTTGGTTGGCTCAGTCTACAAGCTCTCTTTTCACGGTGAATGACTCAATTACCTAACCGCCTCCAAACAAATTCCAAACTAACGATTCTAATACCGAACTCTAACTCTACACTCTAATCAAACTCCCGAACACTCAATGCACAAAGAAAGAGAACTCACTAGAGAAATCGACGAGAGGAAACTGTTGAAACAAACACCAGAGAAAGAACCCCTAAATTTTCACAGAGAATCGCGCACCAAGAAGAAGAGAATTGCAGAGGCTCAAAAAAATCGTCGATTGGAAAGCAAAGTTAGGGTTTTATTTCATTTGTAGGTTGGGTCATGGGTCAAAACCGAGTTAAAGGGTTTTGGTTGCGGGTTGGGTACAAATTTTGGGTCGGACCAAATTCTAATATTCTCCACCATTTTGGTTATCTCATTTACTCGATGGTTGCTCCTGTAGAGATGCATCACAACCAAGTGACCCTTTTCGCATTGTCGAGTCGCATAAAAATTGCCCGGAAAGATCCACTAATACACAATGAACTTACACACGATTATTTGACTAGTATTTGCCTTACTAAAGAATTCCTTAACCTAGATACATTGCTTCACCACAACCAAAACAAATTTATGGACATAAACTTATTCATTCCTCTAAAATTTCCTTTTACCTTTTTAGGACAAGAATTTAATTTCAACTATGTTTTTATTTTGATTATTTCATTTAGGTGTTCTAATATTGAGTACACTACAACACTACACACGTTTCAATCAATTTAATTTATTCTCAATCTAAATTCTACCTATTCACTTTATGCTTCCAAAATAGGAAATTGATGTTTCCATTAAAAAGTTAATCCATGATAGTTACAAAATCGCATGTGTTAAATATTCATGTTATATGCGATATTCGATTGTTTCTGATTTGATTCTGCCTAATTTCGGTGCGTATTATTTATTTCCGACATGCAGGAGAGAAAAAGCAAATTTGGCGTGATTTGAAAGAAGAAGTGAAGAAAATTTCAAATTTGTAGCCCTGAGTTAGTCATGGCCATGACTAACTCCACTCTCTTGACATCGGAATCTAATTAATGGGCCAAAAGCCCAACTGCTAAAATAAAATAAGGGCAAAATTAAAAGAAAATACGCATAGAGGACGACCAGAAAGAAAGAACGCACAAGGGCAGAAGACTGACAAACTTATAGATTGCGCAGGAGCAAATCGACATAGAAGATTTCCCCCTTCCACTATGACTTTATCTTTCCATTTTGTTCTTTGCTATTTCATTATGGAGTAGTTACTTTTCTGGTTTGCGAAATGATAATATTTTGGTTCTTGTGTTTTAGAGATTCTTAATTTTCTTTATAAAAGTTCTTTCTTATTATCAATATTTGTTTAATCTTGAAAATAACGTTTGTGATTGTCAGATTGATTGGATATTTTGGTACCGATATTTAAATTGGCCTAATAACCTAAACTCAATTCAGGTAGGATATGCATAATTGTATTCGCATTTGAATATGTGACAACCAGGTTGAATAGTTCATTCTTGGGGATTAGTAATAAAACTTAATTGCTCATCTTAGGTAGTAATTATTTGAATTGAGTTTTTCTATATTAGAATGCGATTAGACAATATTTCCTATGGGCGCACCTAGCTTTATTAGCTTAATTAGGAGTATTTAACGGTCGTACCTTAATTACCTATGTTGCAAGGAAAAATTGGTTATCAGAACTTGTTGATAACAATAACCAATTTATTGATATTTTAACAAGAACTAATTTTATTAAATCAATGATAAAACACAAGTTCCATGACTGCATCATCCCCTTAAGCCAGATATCCCCTTGATAGCTAGTTCCCCATTTATTTAATTGTTTTGTTATTTTATCTTCATTAGATAATAAAAGAAAATTCTCCCATTTTATTTACTGCATTAGAACGCGAAAGAGTAAATCACACAATCCCTGTGAAGACGATCCATTCCATTGTATTACATTAAATTGTGATCATGAAATAAGTGAATTATTTAATTGACAGTGCGACCGGTCAATCCAAAATTAGCATGTTCAATAGGTGCTTATATTGCTCCAAATTTAAAACAGATTTCAAAATATTCTGAAAGAATTTTGTATATACTAAAATAACGGATTATATTCACTATGGATCATAGCACCAAAGAAAATATACTCTAATCACACAATTCATATAGAAAGAAAACATACACGAACTGATAAAACAATCCAACAATAAACAAATCAAACACAAAGATTTATATAACAACAACCACCTAAAGTATAATCAACACTTATCTACTAAACAAGCACAGATATGAAGAACAAAAAAACGGCAATCAGAAGTTATGATATTCACTAAGTAATATTTATTTCTTGGCAACACATAACATAAGCATCAACAACCATTTAAGTGAACTAGAAACTAAACATCCAAACAAAATACAATTATTATTCCAAAAATCACAAGTTCATTTAAACATATCCAAGAAACAAACAACCGAACTAACATAAATTTGTAATCAATAGACCAAGTAATACAAGGAAGATCTACTGAAAAAAATAAAAAATAAAAAAATAGAAAGGTTTGTCCTTTTACCAAGATCGATCGATACCCGAAGACTCTTCCTATTTAATTTCTTGTTGCTTTGACATATTCTAGCTCTGATACCACTGTTAACTTTTTATAATCTGTCAACAACATACAACTTTCTTAACCAAAATGTGTTCAATATAGGAATAAAGGATAAAACTATACAATTAAAGATTGAAATATAAAGCCACAACCGAATTGGGAATTAACTAAAAAATCCAACCCACCAAGACTTAATCAAACAAAGAAGAACACCAAAAAGAACTCCATGTTTTGGCAGCAACGATAGCGGTGTTCTCCAGGCAGCGACAGCAGCCGATGACTTCTTCTTCCTCGGACGGACAGCTTGGAGCAGCCATGGCGATCTTTCTTGAAAACGAACAACTCTGACAAGAACGAATGGGGAAACCTTTTTGGTTGGCTCAGTCTAGAACCTCTTTTTTGTTGTGAATGAGTCAATTACTCAACCGCCCCCAAACAAACCCCAAACCAACGATTCTAACACCGAACCGTAACTCTACATCTCGATCAAACCTCCGAACACTCAGTACACAAAGAAGGATAACTCACCCAAGAAATCAACGAGAGAAAATGGTTGAAACAAACACTAGAGAAAGAACCCCCAAATTCCTATAAAGAATCGCGCAGGCTCCAAAAAATCATCGATTGAAAAGAAAATAGAGGGTTTTATTTCATTCATGGGTCGGGTCATGGGTCAAAATCGGGTTAAAAGAATTTGGGTTGCGAGTTACGTACAAATTTTGGGTCGCGCCAAATTTCAACGATAAGTTATAAATATGTTAATAATTTTATAATTAGTATAAAATCTATAAATATTACTAGTTTGTTTCATTGTTTTAAGTATACAATTAAAAATAAAATATTTATTAAATTTATAAATTAAAAAATACTAATTAAATATTTATTTATCTACTAATAAATTTATAATTATAGTAATTAAGTTCATTTTAACCGTACTTAAAAAGATCAGTTTACCGTGAATTCATCTTTTTCTAAATAAAACACTGCAATTATCTATGCAAAATATAATTTCTCATGGCTGACACCTATGTAATCAAGGGTTACAGAGTTTTTTTTTTTCTCTTCAAACCTTAATTTAAAGTGCCGAAAAGAGTTTTTCCTTTACAAAACATAATTTCCGGCAATCATTCCTCCCCATGAAAGATCCTTTTCTCGAGTTTTTTTGTAACTCGGGTTTACCAGACGGGATAAAAACTGGAAGCTCCGTACCGGTTATGACTCGGCTTAGTCGGACTGAACTCGGCCAAGACGATAAACAATGACCTCAAGACTTTGATTATTTTTTTCTTTCTTTTAAAAGACACTAAAGAATTTTTTAAGAAGAAAGAAAATTTTGTAATAAAAATTCTAGAAATTGGGCAACAAGCCTAGTTAAAGTTACAATGAACCTTAAGACGAAAATATCTAGTGTTAAAGAAAAAACAAATCTTATGTATGAAGAATTTCTTAAGTATTTCAGCACTACTCAAATGGAAACATTTGGGCTTATGTATGAGTTGCCAAAGGACTTGAATAGTAAATACAATGTCAGGTCATTCATTATAAGATAAATCAATTTATCAGCCAATTGTTAATACACAATAG